CCGAACGACCGCCCTCGGCCCGCCGGCGGCCCCTCCCGGCGCACCGGCGACCCCCACCCCCCCCCCCCACACCGACCCGGCTCAGGGCCGCCCCCAACCCCCGCCCCGCGCTGCGTTTGCTGCAGTTGCTTTGCTGCAAAACCCCCTTCTCGGGGCTTGTTCCGGTTGCCCTGAATGAGCTTATTTGACAGCTAAAAACAAATTATATCGAGGGTTCACAAATCTGTCCCTCCGCCCTCGGATCTATCCTCTCTCTCGCTCCCTTTCCCTGTGTCTCCTCTGCATTTGAATCCTTCCACTGCCTACACTGTGAGCCGATGCCAAGAGCCAAGGCAACCAGTGCTGTTACATGAAAGAGTTGCTTTATGTCTGCTTAAACTGCAGTGTCCTATTCAAATAGACCTTATTGTTCAAAGGCACAGATCCAAATCGAAAAGGATCAGAGAACAGGGTACCACACTTGACAGCTCTATACATTGCTTCTCCCTTACACAGCCATCCACCTCGATCCCCCACCCCCAGGCTGTAGCCGGAGATGCGACTCGGTTGCTGCGCACAGCAGAGCGCGGCCGAGCCAAGGGCTGGAGCCCCGCACCGGGAGCAAGCAGCCAGCATAATCGAGGCATTGAGGAGACACTGTCCTAATTTATTCCTGGGCAGTAACGCCATACCTATTGCAAATGAAGGGCTCCCAACCAGGCAGGACCCCACACCTAGCAAAGAAAGCTTACTCGCTCTTTAAGAAAGAAAAAAAGTATTTTATCTGCCAAATGGACAGCGTGATGAATGTAGTAGAATCCATCACCATAACCAGCATCTACCACTACAACTCACCTCCCCAAGGAGATGCTTGCAGGTTCTGCTTAACAGCCCACTTCTGACCTCTGACACTCACTTTGCATCTCACCTTCGGGGTGATTTTGCAAGGAGTCCTCAATGGGGGGAGAGGGGCATCATTGGGGCTGGGAAGTCTGCAGTCCAACCAGGCCTCAGATCAGCCTCCTGCCTTCAGACTTTGTGGCAGATATTCAGCCAACTATTTCGTACTTTGTGTAGCCCAAAATACCTCTTCCTCCCAGCCCGAACAATAAACTCTGTGATCCCTCCCAATGAAATTAGAGCAATTGTATTCCTGGTTTAAGGCAGAGAGCTGAAAGCTCACAGATAGGAACCACATCCTCACAACGGCCTCCCACAAGAAGAGCAGCCTAGAGCTTGGCAAGGGCACGTGTCAGTACCAGGCACAAACACCAACCCATATCCCTTAGGCTCTCCTTTCTCTCTTCCCCCCCAATGCAGCTCACAAACACAACCCTTGGTGATCAATGAGGAACCACAGAGGCATTCGCACTTGGAGAACGATGCCAAAAATGGAGAGTTTCACCACTGGTAATCTGGTATAGGAACGCAAAACATCTTAGTAACTACCACACATTTATTCTTTCTTAACCATATCATCACTATTAGTAGGGAGAAAATAACATTTATCTGGGCAAAGCCATGAATTAACAGAGCCATGCGCTCTTCAGAGCTTCAGCACCTGCACATCAAGTAAGAGAGGCAGAGCTCCAGGAGGAGGAAGAAGGGCAAAGGACAGCTGAATGCTGAGCCTGGAAAGACAGGAATCTAGTTACAGGTTTATTAGAGGGAAAGCTCCCAGCTGTGCCAAGGACAAGTGGGTTTTTGCCGTTACCAACTGCCAGGTCCTGGCATTCCATGGTTGCCACGGCTCTTCTTTCCGTTTGCAACGTACACAAAACATCGTTCAGAAAGATTGCCTGAATGCAAAGAGGCTGAAGGATGCTCAGTGGCACGGACAGGTTTTCAGCCCCAGCAGTGAAATCAGAGGGGCCGTTCCCACTGGGGCCATTCCCACGACACATCTGGATCCACGACAACACACCCCAAGACGGGCTGGACAAAGCCTGCCACGAGATCTGGAAACGCGTGCAGAGCCTCTCCTGGGATCTGCAGCCCATCGTCTGCACAGATCCACCTGGTCCCCCATGGAGCAGGAATGGAGCCCACAGTGGGTGAGTGAGCCAGGACAAGGGGCTGCTGCCTTCCCTTCAGTGCCCGGCTCAAAAGAGCCCTCATAACCCCTAGAAACAGAGAGCTGGAGCACGGGGTGCTGGGTTGGCTTCAGGCAGGATCCTGATAGGACAGAGTTTTCCCACTTTTCCCACTGTAACCAGGCTTTTTTTTTTGGGAGAGTCCTGTGAAAGCCAGCTACTTGAAAATCTGAAGCACCATAAGCAGCTGCTGCGTTCTCTTCCCCACAACATTTAAAGGAAAACAACCACACGCACATCAAAATATTTACAGGAAGAAGTGAAAGCAGCATTCAAAAGGAACAAAATCGAAAATTAAAGTGTTATAAGGAAGCTACTGTAAACAGCTGATCTTTACAAAGAGAAGCTGAATTTAGCACAGAAAAAATTATGCCAAATCATGTTCTGTGGGACAAATGGTGATAAGGGAGGGAAGGATGCTCTTCAGATTAATGGGATAATATTTACTATATGCTCCTGAAGTAGAAAAAAAGTGACATTTACAAATCCAGCTATCAATCAGCAAGTTATTAGCACGTGTCCAGATCTTAAAGCCTACATAAATCACACATCTTGCCTGATACAGTGAAAAAATCTGCAATCGTGTCTTTTAAGGCCAACTTCTCAGACTGAAAAAGCTGATAATTTGATAATTTTAGCTGAAGACATGGAGGAACAGAAGGGGAAATGGCCAACACTGTATCAGTGTGAAACCCAGGGTGTTGATCTTGGAGTCCTGGCTCCTTCCCTTTCCCTTCCATATCCGTAACAAGAATAGTAATTGAACTAGAATAAACTAAGTGAAGGCAAACAACCCAAGAATAACCAGCAAAGCCAATGGAGTTGCACTGGTAGGTCAAGTTATGCTGCTGAAACATCTTAATTAGCACATGCTCAGCCACATCCCTTGGTCCTGCCAGCTGCTTAGAAGTCCAAGCAAGGAATACGATATGAAGCACCGTGAACTATTAACAGCTAAAAAAGTTACAGAAACAAAGCTACCAAAAGAAATACACAGATCTAGTTTTTAGCAATTAATCTAATGCAGTGACAGCAGCCCAACCAGCGGCCTCCCACCCCCAGCAACCTGCAGCCATGCTTAAGCCACTGTAACAGGGCTGAGGCAGCAGATCAAAATGGTTTGGGACAAGCAGAAAGGACCTGTGACAAACTCAGTAACTCCAACCAAGATGAAATTAACAAGCCAGCAAAGCACAGTGGCTAAAGCACCATTCTCAGGTTCAGAAAAATGATTCATTGTTCGCCTGCTGATCTTCGAGTTGCTTTGGGCAGCTGCTCTGACCCTTCTGCCAGCAGCATTTTCATGCATTCAGCAAGCAGGCACTTCAGCAAAGAAGTACCCTCTGCATACACTCGTCACAGTACATTGCTCATCAGTTGTTCAAAGACCTTCCTGAGTCACTGAACCTTCCAAAAATACCGAACCTGAAGTGCTGAAACCAAATTGCTGTACAGAATTCAAAAGAACTTCCTTAAAATCTCTTCAGGTGAGGCAGCCCCGGGTCAGGCACCCGCCTCTGACCTTGGAGAGAGCAGCTTCTGTACCACAGGTACCTCTGTTATTCCTGACACAGCTGCACTGAATTATTTTCCCTCATCTCTCCATACCCAGGAGTCAATAGAGATGCTCCCCTGCCCACCAGCTGCAGTAACGTCAGTGGTCAAAGATCACACTGCACGACCTTGCTCTAGTTAGCAGTCTTTAATTATCTTAGAATATTGACTTATGCAAATTGCTGTTTTGCTCATTTAAAAATGTACCTGGAATCTTTTGAACAAACAACAAC